GACGTTCGAAACGCATACCCGATGTACCTTGATCCTTTCGCCTTTTTCCTCCGTTTTCTTTCTACATAAATACATACATGCTTCATGCTTCATGCTTTTCTTAGGTGGTTTGAGACTCATTTACATGTATGTATTGGGTAGAATTAGAAATTACTGCATTAATACAAGATACTTAACACATTGAGCGCCACAGTAAAATATGTGTATATGCATAGTCGGACACAGTGAAATTTTTCTTATTAAGAATACGAATAGCTAATTTTCAAATTTAAGGTTCCAAATTGCTATTATGCATTACTAACATTATAATAATACTATTAAAAATTTATTTTCTATTTTCTTTTTTTAATTATTCGATTATATTACGTTTAATGACCCACGTGGCATTCAACGTGTTAACAAATTTGTCAACCTACATCATTTAATTAAGTCACTATGCATCAGAATATAATAGTGAACAATCGGAACTAATTATACAAATTTTCAAAAGTTTCAAACTTGACTTGTACCATTCCCATCGATGTAGATATGAATGTTAAATGAATTTTTCCTTATGATATTTAACTTCGGAATAATTTCTATCCCGTCAAGGTATATTTTAAAATTGATTATATTTTAAAAATGATTATATAAATATAGAGTAGAGATGAGGATATAGTGCTGAAATATGTGATCCTTTGTGTGCTATTGGTCTAAATATCAGGGAATGATAAAAGGTTACATTTGCTCGCATGATGCAAGAGTTTATCATAAGTTACGTTCAGACTGATTGTTCATAAGGTCATGAATGTGGATAGTGTATTTTCTTGGTGAGATTAATATATGTTATTATTGAATCTTTTGCTGTGGTACATATATAAGTTTGTACAGTAGAATCTCGATTATCCAAACACACATTGTATACTTTATTATCAGAATAATACCACCTGTGATACGATACGAGATAATACATATTCGTACGCTCGTCTTATTTTCTTTTCAAGGGTGAGTGTAAAGATGACGAGAAAGATGAATATTATGATGGAATTGTTTTATTTTGTCTTATTTCCTGGTGAAAATGCCAAGCTTATTATACTCCACCTAATGCATTAAAGTTTAATTGAAGCATTCAGCCCGTCAGATTAAGATTAGATCTTGAGATCGTTTTTTTGTTTTAATTATCAGCGTCAGACGAAAAGAATTAAATACTAATTACTCAAAAGTTATCGTTTTGCAATAAGGCTGGGGTTGCACAAACCAAATCTATCATATTGAAAATAACATTTATTCAAAAAACATTGAACATAGGTAGTTCACTTTAAATTCAAGCCAAAATTCATTAAAAATTAGTTTTATAAGCTAAAAGAATTCATTACCTTTTCGTTTAATTGATTTTTTAGATAAAAAATGACATTGTCAGTGAACGAAATAAATGAAAGAAACATAGTTGCATTGAAATTTCTTTATTACGACCCTAATAAGGTAAAAATCGGTTTCAACGAATTCTCATTTTCCTTGTCACGAAATTCCTTGAAGCATGCCAATACACAAAAGCGTTCCGACCGATGCAACATCATGTTTTCCCAATGTTTGCAGTCCCGACTCCGATTCACCTCACGTTTTTCCCTAATAACAATACGGAAACGTTTCATCAATAGTACTCAAGGAACGACCTTGTTACTGTTTACAGGTACGCACAGCTGACCTCGATAGAGAGCTTTCACTAGTGTCTAAGGAAGCATGAAAAGGAAACGAAGAAGCCGAAGAAAACGAGAACTCATGCGTGTTGCGGCTGATCGTCGACTGGTCGTGGTGGAATCGTTGTGAAGAAAAGGAGCCAGACTGGAGTCATCCCGTTAGCAAAACAGAGGAATAACACAGAACGAAGAAGAGGAAGTACGAGTTAGCCAAGATACAAGGTAAGAAGCGAACAAGCTGAAACGGGACAGGTAAAGATCAGCAGCGGAATCGAGTGTACGCTAAGAAGAAGAAGAAGAAGAAGACGAAAAAGGAGAGGGAGGAGGAGGAGAAGAAGAAGAAGAAGAAAAAGAGGAAGGAATCGAAGGCAGGCGACAGGAGGAGGACGAAGTAAAAGGATTGTGACACGGACGCGTGTGCAACAGGCGATTTCTGAGCGATTTATCTTGCCAGGTTTGCAGGTGTTCGCGTGCGTCCTTCGTGGCCTTGTTAACGGGCTACCTTTTTCTCTAGCCCACCTTTATCTTACCGCATCGACCTTCCTTTAACTCCGTCATACGGGATAGGTAAAATAATAGAGCAGCCCCGAAAAACGACGTAACTCGAGGAGAAGCGTTTAACGAAGAGAACGAGGAGGAAGTAGTCCGAGCGTAATACAAGGGAAGCGTATATCGAAGAGAAAAAAAGGGTGAAAGAAAAAAGGGGTTACGGATTGACAGAGAAGAAGAGATTCAGGGAAAGAAGGTGAGGAAGGCAGTGGGAAAGAGCAGCATAGGTAGACAGGTAGAGTGGCGAAGATATATAAGCGGAGAAAGAGAAAAAGTAAGAGTAAGAGAAAGAGAAGGAGAAAGAGAAAGAGAGTGCGAAAGAAGAGTAAATAAAAAGAGAGGGTGGGAGGGATGGAGGAATAGAGAGAGAGAAAGTAAAGGGGAAGGAGAAAGAAGAAGAGAGGGAAGAGAAGTAAAGGAGAAGGAGGAGGAGGAGGAGGAGGAGGAGGAGGAGGAGAGATAAGGGAAGGTAGAAGGGGATAAGGGGAGTAGCGCGAAAGAAGAGAGGGAGAAGAAGAGGCGCGTGGTGGTCGTGGTGGCGAGGTAGCGGACGAGAGCGAGCGAGCATCCAGATCTGTCGCGTGCTGCGTCGCTCTGGGATGGGACGGAATCGGGACGACACGGTACGAAGCGGAACGGGACGAGACGGGACGAAACGGGACGAAACGGGACGACAGCTACTACTACAACTACGACGACGGGATGGGATGGATGCTGTGGATCCGTGTGAGTAGCGAGTCGAGTCGATCCCCGCGCGCTGGTATTGGTTTCACTCTCGGCTGCTGCCGGCCCGTGTGCTGGTGTGTCGATCTCTCTACGAGAGCGAACCGAGGAGCGTGCCCGAACCGAGCCGGAGAAGAGAACCGCGGCACTCGTTCAGTAGTTTCTCGGACGCCGCACCGGCACCATCCGACCTACCAGATAACCCCGGACTTGCCGGACTACCCCCGACCTCCTAATAATACCGACATACGGCACGATCGCGACGTTGGATCGTTCGTTTCGAGGAATCAAGCACGTCCTAAGATAGGATCGTTGACCGTTCACCGAATCTGCCAGCTTCACTGCGGTGACATCGTGGTTTTGTCGTGGTCAACGTGTTGGATCTAGAAGTCGATCGGTGCGGTGGGCAAAAAAAGATCGGTCCTACTCCGAAACGATCGTCATCGCCACGAGGGATTACTCTCGTGTTCGTCTTCGCCTCGTGCGTGCGTCCGTACGTGCGTGCGTGCGTGCGTGCGTGCGTGCGTGCGTGCGTGCCTGCCTGCCTACCTGCCTGCCTGCCTGCCTGCCTGCCTGCCTGCCTGCCTGCGTGTCTGCGTGTCTGCGTGCTTGTATATTCGTCGATCATCTTTTTCTCGGTTTGGCCGGTCAACCGATACCACGCTCTTTACCGGTCGAGTGTCACACGGAGGTCATTAGCTGTTTACTTTTTTCTCTCTCTCTTTCTCTCTCGGTAACGTATCACCGTACGTGTGTCGGTTGTTTATCAGCAAGCCGCGTTGGAAGCATCATCCTGTACGAGTTAACCAGGTGTTTTTGCCCCGGTGACGAACGTGTCGGTGGAACACACTAGCCGTGTTCGTTAACCATCCCGAGTCGAATCAGCTTTCGTAGTAGACGCGTTGCTTTCGTTCGATCAGTGGTGAGAAGTGGTGGCAGTGTTTGCCCGCGAATATTTCGCGAAACAACTTTGGCGCGTGATTCACGACCCTTCGCGACTCCGGAAGGATACGCTCTCCCACGAGTGGTCAACGAAGAGGGCAAGGGCAAAGAAGTCGGTGAAAGAAGCAATACACTGTGATATAGACAAGGACAGAAGTAAAGAGGTGGAGGAGGAGGTGGTGGTGTTGCTGGAAGAGAGGGGGAGAGAGAGAGAGAAACCCGTTAAGGCGGTACGAGTAACGTGTCGGTGGAGGTTCTTGCGATTGATAGAGGAAATAAGAGGAGAGGGACAGAGCGAGGTCGACGAAGGTAATCGGTAGCATCAAGCTGCGTGCCTCGACAAAACCGATTAAAGACAAGCGAGCAACGATCCTTTCGTCTCCTTTGTCGCTAATTCCCTGTCGTAGGCTTTTCGTTCAGTAATCGCCTCGTCGACCGATCTTCACCCAGGATCATTCGCAGTGTAACGAGTACCCTCGGCGATATCGGCTACAGGAAACCAAGACGATCCAGTCGCTCGTTTGTATTCAGAATCCATCACACGACGCCTCGATGCTACCTCGTAAACCTATTCCGTGGTTTCCCATCTTTGCGAACAAGCCGTTCTGACTGGCGTGATCTGGTTCGCGCTGACGAGACATCGGCACTGTCATCGTCATCGTTATCGTCGATTGACCGTTGTCAATCGATCAGGCTAGCCGAAGGAGAAACCGCTGCCACGGCGGTCCGCAATAATGCGAGATTATCGAAAACGGGGTACATGGACGGTAACAGCAGACCAACTGCTGCATCCTCACTGTTCAACGAGAATTTTCCCACAGGGCCTCCTGTGTTCGAGGCGAAAGTAACCGAGGATGAGGTGGACTTACATTGTGAAACTGTATTATTACCATTCGTGTGATTACCTGTACGACGAATCGAATTGTGTACCGTGGCTTTGATTTTTAGCAGTCAGACCGCTCGATACGACAACGAGGAGCAACAGTGAAACAACGGAAATTGTACGACACGAGAGGGAATATAATAAAATAACGAAGAACAGAAGAAGAAGAAGAAGAAGAAGAAGAAGAAGAAGCAGTAGACATAATCAGCGAGAAGAAAGAAGAATAAAAAAGAGAAAGTGAACAGAAAGATAGAAAGATAAAAGGAAAGGGAGAAGTGTGGTGTGTAGATAAGAGGGAGGAGGGCTTGGAAAGGAGTGTGGATGAGACCGTCATGCCCGCTGAGATCGACACGGGCGGGCCAACGGTGCTGCACTGTGATTACCGTGCCGTCTGCCCGATACCGATCCTAACCTCAGCAACCACCGAGTCTTCTTCCTTGTACCGCGAAAATAGAGTTGTTCGAACGAGTATCGTACGACGATTTCCGCGGACGAATCGCGACGAGAAGGACGAATCGTTGGATGACACTGGTGTGAAGTCTCGTTGTTGGTCCGGTTTCTCCTTTCGCCGGACTGGAGCCGCGTCCGCGCGTTCCGTATTAAGAGGACTCCGTCGAAACAAGCCACACATCTCGTTTAACGTTCCTACAGAGGCTATCGATGTGTCCTCACGGACGGCTGATGATCGGCAGGATTGCCAGCACGAGGATACTTGTGGTCCGGAACAACCGGAATCGCGACTTCGCGACACCATCGACCAGTTCGACGAAAACGGGACGATAAGGCAGACGCGATCGAGACGAGAGGGGTGTTCGCTCGAGCATGAGAGGACGATCAGCCGTAGATTTCAAGCAAGGATTCAGCTCGCTTCGAAGACAGGCCACGAAAAGGAGAAAACAAGCCATGATTGCCACGGAGTACAAGGATGGTGCTCTAAACGCGACTTGTCGGCAACTGGAAACTGGACGGAGTTTCGAGTTGCAAACCAAACAGGAATAGGGAAAGCACGGTTCTCTAGTCAGTCGAACGACCCTTCGAGATCGGATCGGACGTATGAGAAGGTGGTAACCACCAACGCGACAAGTACGCTTCCGTCCTTGACCGATGAAACGTGGAAGGAAGTGGACGCGACAAATTCCTGGCGATGCGAGTCGCGCGCCACCAAGGTCGAGTTGACGGTCGATCGGCAGACCGACTTTCCTTCCCTCGACCACGAGTCCTCTTCGAGGAGTGGCCATACTAGAACAAGAAAGAAGAGGCGCGAGTGTCGTAACAACCGTTTCACGTACTTTCAGTTAGCCTTACTCTTCTTCCTGCTCGCGTTCGGACAGTGCGGACTCCGTAAATCGAGTGTGTTCAACTGCAGTGCGAAATCAAGTGCCACCGGTTTGAGTGTGTTGGCGATTGGCACAGTTATCAGTGCAGTGAGTGCCGCACCGGTTGATTTAATGGCTGATGCTGGGGTAAGGGCAGAACGATCGGCCAATTTGTCCCACATCACTGGCGCTTCCAGGAAGATCCAGATGTACATCAAAAATCGGCATTTGCAAATCCTGCCGGATGGCACGGTGAACGGCTCTAACGACGACACATCGGATTACAGTGAGTACCGATTTTCTATATCTATCTTAATATATTCAACGATTCCACTGCAACTGGAAACATTAATTCTCTTCCTTTTATTCTGTTCCGTGTATACCTGCATTCGCATACCACGCTCAACGTCGGTCTTACACGCACACCATTTTTCCTTAATTGCAGCTTCTCTCGCTATGAAAAACGATTTTTTCAAAGTGATATCGTGTTAGAGGTTCAGAGTTAAGCGAAAGTTACGGTGGTCACGAGTTTCATGATCGTTCGTTGACAGAAAATTGATTCAACGCGACGCGACGCGACGCAACGGTGAAAACATTTCTGTCAGAGCTGTGAAATCATTTTTCTTATTCCGCGCTTCGAAAAGAACTTGCATTCAGAATTTTACCACCTTTTATGATTCGCGTGGGTGTTTATAGTTTCTAGCAAGGTCGATGCAATTACATTCTGGCCTCTTTTAGTTGCTGAGTTACCATTCAGACGTTTGATTCGATCGAAAGAAATCATCGATGATACAATAATGATTTAATAATTATTATACCTATGATATTGTGCAACATAGGACACTTGAAAACCGAATATACTTTTAAAATCAATATTTTTATAGGTCATAGATACATATGTCCATATTTTGTATCAATCGATTATAATTTGATCGTTTAATCCTTTTAGTATTTGTAAATTTATTCACAATTAGTTATATAGATGGTGGTGATGTTTGAAATGCGTAGCATGAATTTCTAGAAATTTAACTATTCTATATGAAAAGACAATTTATTAGATGAATGTATTTTTAACAAATACCTCAAAATTAATATATCGACTCTAAGATACTCAAAGGTTCAAAATAATAAATCAATATAGGTAGAAAAAATGGAAAAATAAACGAAACTATTAGCGAATCTATAATTGACCTCTTTTCTTGCTGTCCGTCCTTCAAAATAGTTCTTTTGAATTCAGTGCTTATTCAATTCAGGTAGCTGGTTCACGATGTCAGTTCCAGCAAACCCTTAGATATCCTACTTGGTACTCGGGGATGTGTATTCAGTTTCGTACGGCCCAGTTCGTCGTCGTGCCTTGATCGGTGACGTTGACCTTATTTCGAGATTCCACTCGGACGTTCGATACCTCGAGCATCCCGATTTTGCATTCTAAATCGAATCTTGGAACCTTCTGCTTTTTCCTTCACGATAAAGATAAATCTGTTATCGTATTCTCAAGTTCACGTGATTTTGTTTGTAATATTTTCAGTGAAATCGTTGCATGTAAAAACATTTAGATAGGATAGGCATGAATGAAAAATGATAGGAAGTTATGAAATTAAATTGAGATAAATCATTGCGTAACAAATTTTTTTGAAGATTTTTGTTTTTATAAAATATGGAACGACTTGAAATTTGAACCGAGTCCTTTATCCATTATTTTGATCTAGGATAATTTTAATATCTTTAAAAAGATTGAGACAATTTTTAAATCAGATTGACAGAAGCACAAACATATTTGCATTTTGAAGAATATTAATTTTAAGAACAATGCTTACAACCTACAATAAATTTTTTAATAATTACCTTATCTTACCTTATTTCCACGATAATTAACAAATTTATTATGTAAATACTATGAACATTTTTTCGTAATAATCTATGAAGCATTTGAAATGATTAATAAAAAATAATTGTTCCAAAAGAAGAATGTGTATGTCATACACCAGTCTTTGCTTAAATTAACTAATGTATTCATTTACCTATATGTGTATAACACGATATTATTATACGTATAATATGCAAGTATTGATTTATTAGTTCCCACAATCAGTTATTCATTAAGCTTCAATTGTGATCGTCATAAGGATACCATCAAAACTTATGAAAAGATTTAATGTCGCGTCGAGCGAAATCACGGAATCGAAAACAAGATTATGTGGATGAGAAAGTGTTTTTCTTGTGACCGGAATTAACGGCGAAATTAACAAGAGAATGCGATCAGGTCTGCGACTGGGACGACAGAGCTGATCCAAGAATATGCGCTGCCCAGTAGTACATGTACCTCTTCTTAACTAGTCCGCGCTAACCTTTGAAACTTTGTTAGTTCGTCGGTGGTAGCTCTAAATTCACGTCGACAGATCGAAGCTTCTTTTTTGAAATGGGGATGAATGCCTAGAACCGTTTCAATTTCTCTATGCGACTGTTTTCCAAAAAGATTCACGCTTTCATTCAACAACATCTATCCATTAGTAGAATAGAATTCGGGAAGCTTTGCGTTTAAATTTAACCGATCATTCAATTATTTCTGGAAAGGAGGTTACATAACAGTGAGAAGTAAGGCTACTAATATGTTGAATGCCACAAGGGTCACTGTTGACTGACATTACACACTTTAAATATAATTAAATAGGTAATTAAAGCAATGATACGAGGCATAATACATTATTCATATACATCAAAATAATATTCACTGGAATTAACTATGCGATTATTTATACCTTTTGTTTAAATATTTTTAAATTCTGATAATAGAAAAGTTGAACCTATAAATAGATATGTAATTATGCAACTGTTCCAACTTAAGAGATAATTAATACCTTAACTTTGTTACATTTAGTTTATATTATAAATTACAATACTTTAATCTCTATTTAGTCGTTTTTATTACATATTCTTTATTCAATTTTTATAATATTTTTAAATTTTATTAATATTATTAACTGCAGATTATTTTTACATGTCTATTTAAAATTAATTCGGAAGTCAAATATGATAACAAATTGAAAATAATGAAACTAACTAATTGTAAGACATTCATTATTTATTTAACTGAAATAGCTGTTAAATAGGTTAGATTAGGTTAGCTATTTTCTTATTCCGTGTTAATATACACACGAATAATTATTTTCTGGGAAAAGAATATTATTGGTTCTGTTTTGCTTCTCTGAAGGAACACTATTTCTATAATATAATTCTTGGCCTTGTTTCCGATAATTGTGGCGGTACCCTTTCACGAGACACTTGCTTAACCGTCCTAATGACCGAACGAAAGCTGTGTACTTCAATTTCCTCTTGTTGAGCGTTTACGTAAGAACTTGAGAATAACGGAATTCGTACGATAGCTGTAGATCTTTTATAATGTTTTCACATAGTTTTCCCAGGAATTTGGGTAAACGTTTAGAAGAAATAGAAAATTACTTCGTTCTGACCTTTAGGTATTTAACCCTTCCGTTTCGGCTAACGAACGAAATGCTTACAATTGCATTTTATATTCTATGAACTTTGGGATGAAATTTATAATAATTTATACGTAGTTTAATTTATTTTCTGCACACATTTCGAAGCGAAAGGGTTAATTATTTGTATACGTGAGGTTGACAAACTTTACTTGTAAAAGACCAAATAAGCTTTAGGAAATTATTATACAGGTATATAGTATGTTTATAAAATAAAAGATCCACAGATTCTTATGTGCACACACTTGGATATCTTATCATGATATGTATCATGATATTAGATCAGAGGGTATTTGAATTTTTGGTTAGGAATGTTAATAATTTTTTTAATAACAATTAACTAGAAATTTGTTTATGATAAACCGTTTTTAAAAAAAAATAAAATTAAGTAACTTAACGCCTTAAACCTTGTTATTTCTTAAATAATAGATAATATGTATTACAAAAAATGAGAAATTCGAAGATTAATTGAACAGACTATCTATTTTTCGATGGTGGCTCGATGGAATAACATTGTCTTTGAACGGTTTAATTGCGATTTGTATATATCTTGCCAAAATACTTCTAGCTTGCCAATAGACACCACTCGTCGCTCGTCTCAGTGACTAACTATTCTATTTTCGACTCTCTTCCGGTGTTGTTTTTAACTCTTTTATATTTTGATTTACCTATGCGTGTAACTGTTCTGTTATTCAATGGTGGATGACACAGTCCGTCGCTTTGCTTCTTATCGTTTAACATATTTGTTATTATTTACACTTTCTATTAACATTGCGGTTAAATAATCGCTAATCACTCTATGGTAGTTTTTTTTTCTTAATTCTGATTATTTTGTGCCATAAAGTATGACTTTTAATCTACTAACCTTACTTTGATGGTATATTTTGAGAATTTTTCCTTTCGGAATTCCCATATAAAAATCCTCATCATTGGTCGGCAAACTCGAGACTCAACCTAATTGAAAACTACTTAGAGATTTTAGGAGATCAATAACTTTTGTAATTTTAGGTGTCTTTTTGTAGCAAAAACGAACCTATTGGTATGATTATATGTATTTGAAAGCTTCCATAATGTATGCTGCAGAATTACCAGTTTTTAAAGTAGTACGTGATATAGCAGATATGAATCCATTAAACACGGTGTACTTAATTGCCGCACTACCTTATTAGCATTTCTTCCATTTCTAACAGTTGAGACTCTTTCGAGTGGTTTTGAGACCGTATTCACAAAATTATTCTAGATAGTGTATCACAGAATTTGAATACTAATTATTAAATTTCTATTTGTACTTGTTTACATCGTAATTTAAAAAGGACATTTCAACACTTTGATGATATGCATATTTTATAGAATCTTTTTTATACCTAACAAGAGATTACTAATAGAATTGTACATTAATTAAATATAAAGGTTAATAATACAATAGTGAGTACAACACACGTCAAATGCAAGTAGTGGTTTGTCATTTATTCGTGGCGATGATATTAGTTTGTCTACTTAAATTTTGCAAAATGGAAGAAGATATTTGATCATCTACAATTTTTAAGAGAAATGACATATGAGACAGGATCATTCTACTTTCAGGAGAATACAAACTAAGTAATCTATAATAGACGTACAATCATAGTGGTTGAGCCACGGGTTGACCTAGTTTGAACGCAGCACATCCCACGATCTTGCCTTGTATTCGTAATCCCCCTTTTAATACGATCAATGAATGCAGGGTCATGTTGACCCACAAGGAAAGTTTCGTCATATGCAGTTCAGAAGAAAGAATTGTGTTCTTCGT